ATTGTAATGGGAAAAAAGATCCTTGTGCCCTGTTTGGACGTAATAATGATCGCCTTTTTCCGGAGAAAAATACAGTGAAAGACCATATTTCTAATACTAAGCTAGAAAAAGACGATCATTATTACATCCAAACACGGCACAAGCATCGTTTTCCCCATTACAATCTTAACCTAAGAAAACTTTGAGAAAAAATGTCCCGAAAAGCGCCCGAAAATACAAACGAAATGTGCTCATGCCCCCTGGGCATCCTATAATACCCCTTAAATCGAATAAATTCAATATGTCCCGCCGTAACGGTAACAAGGTCTATTGCGCAATAGAACCTCTACTAGTATCAGATTCATTTGTGGTTTATCATATTTCCCTTTGCGTTAGATGTTTGTTTTTGATGCACGTTACTAGAGTTGCTTTCGGATTGCCTTTTGCTCTTTCGTTAGTCTTTTCCCTTATTATGGTTAAACCAAATAAGACAAGTAAATGTCCCGGTTGTAAAGTTTTAAAATCAGCACACGACTTTGGCACTTCGGGCAAACATTTCCCTGGCCCCGACTTGGTCGAGGACGACTCAGCACACACCAAGACCGCGACGGCTGCACCGCCGGGCAATGTGGATTCTAGTGCCGTTCTTATCAAGTCCTTACTGGACTCCGCTCAAAAATTGACGATGGAAGTGCAGTCTCTTCGACAAGAGAGTCAAGACTTCCGCAAGGTAGCGACTATTCAGCCTGCAAAGGATCCGCCCCCTTCTTATTTGCTTGCAAAGAACGCAGCCACAGAGGAGCTGAGAGGCATGACTGCTCTGGCTTGTAAGGTCGACCGTTAAGTCGATCAATTTGGCTTACTCACCTCCAAAGCTAGCGATATCGATGGCGAGGAATTGAAGTTCATTGCCTGACTGCCGGTTAACCGTTAGGGTCCATCTCTGGACAACCTTCGGGTGAGTTGAAATCTGGCCCAGAAACTAAACCTACCAGCCAGTTTTGTACCCTCAGCTTTGGCCCCAGAGTTTCCTTTGCCTCACTCGCACTCAATGTGAGGTTCATTATGAAGATCTTACATGTACAATGGCGGAGTTTGTGGCCGGTTACGCCCAAATTTTGCAGTCCAAAGATATTAGTGCCCTCGAGGTGTCGGAGCGACAGAAGCATTTGGTCTCCTTAATGTACTTTGCGCAGCAGTTTACTCGGTTGGCCGTTCTTAACTTCCTTGGCTCCGTTGTCCTCGAAATTGAGCGCGGCCTTATTAAGTGGGGCGACTCTTTTATGTACTTGGAGAGTCGCACGTTGTATAGCCACCCTTTACCTGAAAAATCGACTGCTGAACTTCCGGTTAAGTCAAGTTCATCCAAGTCTTCTCCGTTACTCATTTTATTTTGTCGCGATTACCAACGAGACGCGCGCAACAATGCGAGTGATCATTATGGTTACCTCCGAGGCGAAAGCAAGTGCCTTAAACATATTTTCGCTTCTTGCTGGGTGCAAACCTGCAAGCAGAAACACCATAAGGAAAATTCTGTTGATTTTCCACTCATTGGGAGTGGTGGTGTCTATTTGCCGGAAGCGCCGCCAAAAATCTGATTCGCGTTTTTAATTCTTCTCATTTTCTTCGAGACTGTGTTTTTCTTAACACTCTTACTGCAAGTTCTTCACCCTTTGAGTTTCCAGAGTCTGGTCAAGACTTTTATTATCCGAAGTTTCTGGTTCGCAATTTTCCGATTCATTTGAGAATGATCAAGACTTTCCGTTCGGTTTAACGCGGGATCATTTTTTTCCTGGCCTTTCCAGTGTTTCTAATTCCAGGCTTTTGAATGTTGCCCGTGGTGCTTCTTATCGAGACAGTGTACTACCTGACTTAGCTAATTCACCGAGTTTAATGATCGATCATGACTCTTTGTTTTCCAGTCGAAAAGATTTCTTGCGTAATTCAAGATCCTTCTCGAGTTTCTTCGTGGACATGCACTCATCGAATAGTTGCTTCTTCTGGGCAACCTAATTATCTCTCCGTTCCCCTTCGAGTTCCTTCACGCCTTAACATGAAAAGGTGGCGCGCTTTACTTCTAGACTATCCTCACAATATCATTTTCGACATCTTGGAGTTTGGCTGGCGTCTTGGATATTGTGGCGAGGCTGTCCCTCTCTTTGCCTTACGCAATCACCGTGGAACATTGAATTTTCCGGCTGCCGTCGAAGCATATCTCACTAGTGAGGATTATCTCGGTCGGGTTGCTGGTCCATTCGATGCGCTACCAGTTGATGATGCCTTCTTTAGTTCGCTCCCTACTTCAGTACCGAAACGCGATTCCAGCGAGCGGCGTGTTATTGTCGATTTAAGTTGGCCTTGTGGCCGTTCCGTTAATGATGGTATCCCCCGTAACTCCTTTTTTGGCGATCCGGTCGATTTGACTTACCCGATAATTGACGATATTGTAGATGCGGTTGTTTCTCTCGGTCGCGGTTGTTTGCTGTATAAACGAGACCTTCGTAAGGCGTATCGTCAGTTCCCCGTCGATCCGCACGACTATCATTTGCTCGGATATACATGGGGCGGTCAATACTACTTTGACACAGTTTTAACCATGGGTTTACGTTCTGCTACTATGTCCTGCCAGCGTTCTACTTCTACTGCCGCCTGGATTTTAGCCCACAGAGGGCGTTTTGTTTCAATTACCTAGACGATTTCATCGGCCTTTCCTCATCTATTGACGCTTCTCGTCACTTTGACGAACTAGGGACATAAATATTACAGTTCCTTAGCTTAGAGGAATCTTTCGACAAGGCTTGTCCACCATCCGCGATCATCATATGTTTGACACATACTTGACGCTCTTAACCTGACTTTGTCCGTGAGCCCGGATGGTTTATCTGAAATTCAGGGGTTGTTACGTGGCTGGTTAACTAAACGGAATACCACGAAGTCGGCTCTGCAGTCCCTAGTTGGCAAGTTGGTTTTTGTTTCAAAATGTGTGCACCAGAGCCGGATTTTCATCTCCCGCATTTTTCGTTTTACGATCCGTTTAGTTTTTAAACTAAAATCATCATCATATTACTTTGAACGTCGAATTTCCGAAAGGCATTCTCTGGTGGTGTCGGTTTTTGCGCGAGTACAATGGAGTGTCTATGATCAGTTCCGCTCATTGGTCGTCGCCAGAGATCTGTTTACCAGTGATGCTTGCCTTACAGGTTGTGGGGGTATTTGCTCCCATCAACACTTTCATGCAGTGTTTACAGACTTTGATTTATCACAAGTTCTTGACATTAATTCTTTGGAACTTTTAACTATTGTGGTTGCTCTCGAGCTGTGGGTTCATCTTTGGCGTGGCCTTCGTTTGACAGTTCGGTGTGAAAATTTTGTCCCCGTCACTGCTTTGAACTCCGGGAGTTATCGGAACGCTTTTGTTAATTCTTGTTTAAGAGAAATTGTTACTTGGCCGCTAGTTTCGAGTTTGAACTGCGCGCGGTTCACCTTCCTGGTGTCTCTAATAGTTATGCCGACGTGCTTTCGCGTTGGTGTACGTGTCCTGCGAACGAACAGTTCCTTTTACGTGTGCAGCGTGGCAACCTAAGCTAACCTAGTTGGGGTGCCAGTGCCAGTTTCTGCGTTTTGTCTTGACCGCCCTTACTAATTTGGAGTGTTTCTTTGTTTGCTCCTTTTAGAGAGATCGGCCCTGGCTGCTTTAAGGAAAGACCTCAAGAACACTCTTCGTTCTGGTTATAGTGTTGGAACCTTTGTTAACTTAAAGACAATCTTTTGTTTTGTTCGTATTTCCGGTTTACACCGGCGCCCGCTGAGCTCGATCCTACTTGTCTTTATGTTCAGTTTTAAGGTCGTACCCTTAGCCCACCTTCTTTTCGTAATTGCTAGTCGGGTGTTAAGCTGTTTCATTTGTTTTCAGGCTTAGAATTCCCCTCCAGTAATATTTTCTTCTCTCTTGAACCTGGCGAGGTATCGCGCGTAACGCTTTACACACGCCGAGTAGGGCGCCTCCTGTTACGCACGATCTTTTGCTTCGTATTTCTAGGATATTAGCTTTGAAGCCTGCGAAAACATCCGTTTCTCCTCGTTCGCCGCTGGGGACGTTTCGCGCGGAGGAACGTCTGCGACTCAGAGACAGAAATTCCATACTGATGATGTAAATCAATGTTTGAAAAATAAATCCGGTAGTCATGGGTTTCCAAATGCAAATTTGTTCAATTTTACGTTTCTCCTGGTCGATTTTGGTAAAGTGTTGTGTACATCTACGAACGAGCTCCAGCAAAACTCATATGCTTTTTCTAGAGAAGACTAAATTCCACAAATATTGACTTTTTTTGTTAGAAATTCGTCGCGTTTACATTTGACCTTTGTGGCCTCTTGTCTTAACTTGTCTCTGTGCCAAAACATACATTGCGTGTGTCGTTCGTCTCGGGGGGCGTTGGGAATTACTTTTACAAAAATAAACAAAATAGCAGTTTCACAATAGTTTTATCCATAAGAATTAGTTTGCAAATTTTTCATCTCCTCACTTTCTATATTGGGAAATTCTCAACTTCAATCTGGCTTTTACCGTTTGCTGTAAATGTGTGAAGGATTTTTTAGTAATACGACAAATTTGACTCTTGCTTTGTTATATTAAGTACATATAAAAATTCCCTTCTGGAAAATTAATAACTAGTATCACTCCTAAATAATAATCGCTAAAATCCCCATGTAAACCCTTATAATATTTCTGTTACGCAAAAACGACTCTGCCACTCGTGAACTTGGGATAACTGTGTTAATCCACGCCAAAAGTTGCCCAAAGCGCAGAAGAAGAATAATTTTGACTGAATAGTAATGCAAAGTTTTATCACAGCAAGAAATCTTTCGTCGTTTGGATTCCGTACTCCAGTTGGCTGTTTGAACGCATGCACTGATTATTGGACCGTTTTTTCTCCCTTTATTGATTTCTTTTATTGTTAATAGTCTCGATCTGTCTTACTAATGTGCCCTTGAATGTTTCTCTCCTGTGCCATGCAATAGGTTTCCTGCCATTTTACATCAAGGAAAACTTACCACAGAGAGTCACAAGTACTGTAACCAGTGAAGGTGGAGAACTGGTTGGGGAAAGTGTCAAACTAATTTGCCCTCCGGGGGCTGTTTACAATTCCTTGTCTGTGTGCGTAACATTAGAGGACCCTTCCAAGTACTATGGACTCCTCGTCCTTAAGGATCTTGAGAACGATGTCATGTTTGGTGCACCCATCATCAGTCTCGAACCCAGTGGTCATTTATTTTTCAAGCCTTTGACGCTGGTAAGCAAGTTCAGCGGAACCTTTAATTGGGATGACGTTCTCATCTTGCACGGTTCAAAGACTGAGGGGGGAAAGATCAACTGGCAAGACATATCTCACAACTCAAAGATAGACGAAGCAAATACAGAATTAGTTATTGAAATCGAGCACTTTTCAATCATCGCAATTCTGCGTAGATTGAGCAGATCTAGTCTACTTCGGACCAAAGACATTGTATCAAGGCTCAACTTGCAAGCATTTAACTACAATTTGTCTGTGCTGCTGAACAAGAGTAATCCCTCTTTAGTGCGAGACGAACTTGCCCTACTGTTCGATAGTCAGGGCGTCTACAATGAGAAATTCTACAGAGAAGACGAGGCGTCGTCTGCTTTGATGCAGCTTAAAAAACAAGGGTTCGAAGAGCTTCATGTACGTTGTAGTCCGGAAGAAAAGGGCATCTACAACAATGAAACCCTTCAAGTTAATGTTCGCCTTGGGGAAGACTACAAACTAGCTGACAGCCAGCAAGCAACTGTTAGTTTTACCGTCCATTCCTCTGAGTGGTGGCATGAAGGAAAGGTTGTGAGAATTCCTCTTGAACGGAATAAAAACGTAACGAGTCTATGTGGGAAGGTCAGTGTACGTGGGGAGTATGGACACAAGAGTGAGAGAAATTTCAACGAACGAGGTAAGATTGACATCCTTACTATAATAAACCTGACAACTGATTTATTTTAGGAGGGTTTAGATTAAAAAAGGTGAATTGAGTGATATGTGACAAGCTGAGGCAAGCTTCGTGTTTCCTGGAGCTGTATCTTCTAAGAAAAAAGATTACTAATTAATCGTTACCGAGATTTTTAGGTTATAACGTCTTACCTGAACACTAACCACTTGCTGACCGACAAGCAATTTGAGTTTCCGACCAAAACACTCGACGGTTACTGCTCTCTCAGGTTTTGCCGATGACGTTCTTAGTAACATGGAGCAAGGGAATCTCTATGGAGCTGTATTCTTGGATTTGTCAAAGGCTTTCGATACTGTTACCAATGGTGTTCCTCATGAGACCACTAGGGAGCATCCTAGGGCCCTTACTTTTCCTTGTTTACTTAAATGACTTGCCTACTGCTGTCCCTCACT